GTAAGGTTTAGGGTTAGGTTTAGGGTTAGGTTTAGGGTTTGGTTTAGGGTTAGGGTTACAGCGTGCTTCTGTCGGCGCGCTGTTGTCGACGCGCTTCAGCGCTCATTCGTCGGCGCGGTTTTGTCACCGCGGTTTAGTCACCGCGGTTTAGTCACCGCGGTTTAGTCAGGCGCGCTTTTGTCGTTCGCGCATTTGTGGTGGAACCCCCAAAATTGAGGCTCATGGAACTTTCCAACCAGCCATAATATATGAATTAACCTAGATAATTGGGTAACTTCCTATGCTATGCTAGAGAAAAATAATAAAATGGAGAATGTTACTGCAAGCAGCTTTACGATTAAGAATTAATTGCACCAATTTAGAATGTAGATGTAGATAGTAAGTCACCTTTTAGAATGCCGTGACACAGAACTCTCTTGCATGCATTAAGCTAGGAACATGGGAATTAAATTTCCCTGACATTTAGCTTGATAAATGCATGAGTTCCTCTTCTAATACAATGAAGCTTATACCATTACCCTCCCACGCACAGTCTAATATTTCACTCCCTCTGTGAAATTAAAGAAATTGTCCACTCACCTGAACATATAGTTCTCTGAGTTCGTATTGAAATTTCTTAGGATCTGTGGTAATGGTTACAGGACCAATTTCTGAAAGGAAAACAAGGAATTCAAGGGAAAGTTTAAAGTGGCTTAATATCTGCAAAAGCTAACACACACACACACACACACACACACACTGCATATTCTTTATTATGGTAAGCAACCAGTGCAAAAATTAATATGTTATATGTATATAAGAGAAAAAGTTGTCAAATTATAAAACCCATTGAACTGACCTAGTGAACTAATCCTATGATAACTATTCTCGGTAAAATTGATCTACTTTACTGTTTGTTAATTCTTGTTTAGACCCATGTGTCTATGTAAGAAAACAGTAAATTGGGAATAATTTTATATACAATAATGAATTGGGATAAATTTTGCCTTCCAACCTTGCTGAATCACATAAATGATATACGTCAAAATTGCCTCTTCATGAAATTTGGTCTTGATTGGACAATTCTACAAGGATAATTCCCCAACTATGAGAAAATATATACAAAGAGTACAACAGCGTTTTTTTTAACATTCTTTTATTTTACAATGCCAAATTCCCCAAAAGCAAAATGCCATTCCCTAAAAATCACTTGTTTTATTTATAAGTAACAGCACATATCACATCATGATTATCTAATAAATAATGGGCAAAGATCTCATCAGGTCAAGTGTTGTGAAAAAGGGCAAAGCTAAATAAGGATCAGTAGGACATCTGCTAACTCAGACAAACAAACATTGATAGTAATTGAATTTGGACAAAAAGAAACTAATTATTTCAAAAGAAGTACTGTATGTGCATTTTGTTGTTTTTGCAAGCCCTCTAGATACTGTGAAAAACCATTAGCCCTACTCATCAGGGCCAAGAAAGAAGAATGATGAAAAATGAAGTTCAACAACAACATCTGGAGAACTACAAGATTGTCTCCCCTGTGTTAGAGTACAGGGTAATGGAAAGGTCTTCTGTACCCTTGTGTAGCAACATAATTTAAGGATAACTTAAGAATCTATGGTGTTCCCCCCATGATTGCAACATCTATTCAATAGCAGTAGACTTATATACCACTTCATAGGGCTTTCAGCCCTCTCTAAGCGGTTTACAGAGAGTCAGCATATTGCCCCCAACAATCTGGGTCCTCATTTTACCCCCCTCGGAAGGATGGAAGGCTGA